GTAAGTTGCAAGCGGACATTGTAACAAATACAGACTTTGTGTTGAGAAAAGGCTGGCTGCATTTCAGAAAACACTGCATGACTTAAAATCCCTGAAATAAAGGGCTCCTATGATCACAGCTCTCGGGGTAGGAGCTAACACAAGCTATTGCCAACAGGGGCCCCACTATCTTCTGAGCCTCAGTTGTGTCCATGGCGCCACTGCGCACGCAGATACCGCCCACATCTCCAAGGAGAACAGCTCACAACACTGGCATCTATTCTCTATGGTGCCTTGTCTCTAGGGTTTCCTTGAATGAGGTGAGCCAAACTGCAGCAGAATTCGCAAGGGATGGAAGTGGAGATGCACAGGCCTGGCAGAGGACCATGTCAGTTCCAAAAATACTGAGTGTCTGCTGTGAGCCAAAAGCCACCCATCTGCCTCCCACTGAAACTTCGCTGGTGACTCTGCAAACAGGGCTTCGTTATTCAAGAGTGACTTTACCCTCGTCGCAAGTTTACAGAGCCAACACCTGTGCATTTGAGAAACCAATTTCACGTGGTGGACGCTGCTGAGTGAGCTCTGCCTGGGCATGGAAGTGTCGGCTAATGGAACCATCGGAGAGCTGGCGGGGCTCACTGGGGACTGAAGGAGAGTGGGACAGGGAAGCTGGGTCTATATGCAGCACACGGTCTGTGAGTGACTCCGCACGAGGTTCGTGGCAAGGCTCTATGGTCTGACTCCTTCTCTCCTCAAGCTCGCTGAGCTGCCAGCAGCCTCGCCTGTGCCCGAAACCTGGTCTGAATGCTGTGCCTCCCTCCTGCCTCTGCATGCAGTGCCCTCTGGCCACTCACTAAAGCGGCCTGGATTGGAACTGTGCGCGCACAGCCTGTCCCTCTAGGCTAGAATACACGAAGCAGACCCCATGCCCATCTGCGCCAGCAATCCAGAGGTCTAGAGGAGAGGCTGTGGTTTGCAGCTGGGCCACACAGATGCCAGCTGTCATGCAGGTGTGCCATTAGTGAGCTGGCATGGACAAGTTGGCAGAGCATTATCTGACATCTGCTTTCCACTGGAATACCTGTTCCAAATGCTGGCCCTTTCCGGTTATATAACCTTGCCTAGCTTAACCTCTGTGTACTTCCATTTGCTCATCTGTGAAATGGACACAATGAGACACTGCCTGTAGTGGGTTGCTGGGAGAATGAAATAACTGCATGTGTATGGGTTACTTGAAACACCACACGGGCCCAGCACAGTAGCCTAGTGACTAAAGTCCTCGCCTTCCACGTGTCTAGATCCCATATGGGCACTAATTCTAATCCTGGCTGCTCCACTTCCCTTCCGGCTCCCTGCTTGTGACCTGGGAAAACAGTCAAGGACGGCTGTTGGGACCCTGCACCCGTGTGGGAGATCCAGAGGAGGCTCCTGGCTCCTGCTTTCAGATCAGCTCAGCTCTGGCCATTGCAGCCACTTGGACAGTAAATCAGCAGATGGAAGATTTTCCTCTTTGTCTCTCCTTCTCTCTGTATATCCGACTTTCTAACCAAAAAAAAAAAATTTTATTTTTGTTGTTGTTTTTTAATTCTTTTTAAAATATGTATTTTTGTTTTATTTTTTATTATTATTTTTAATTTTTTTTCAATCATCTTACTTAGTTGATTAGGGTACAAAGGGTCAAGGGCTACAGGATGGAAGTGGGTAATACCATTGTTTCCACACTAACATTATCATTTTTCCCTGTATCTGGAGTTAGGGGAGTAACAAAGGGAAAAATTAAAAAGAGAGAAGAAACACCACATGGCACAGAGTCAGGGCTACGGAAGGGTTCATTAGCGTGGTCCTTGTTGCCACTAGATGTTTGTATAGGAGAATGAAGAGAGAAGGGAGTTTGTGTGTCTTGCGGCTGAGCAAGCTTCTGCATTCACGCACCGGCTCAGGTGGCCCTGAGAGGCGGGCCGTGCTGGCAGCTCCCGGTTACACACCCGCACAAGAAAGGTGCGAGGTGGCACTTGCACTGATGTTCCTGATGCCCAGTTCTCACCCACCCACCTCCACCAAGCCCAGCCAGCAGGGGACTCCCAAGCCCTGTGTCGGCCGTAACATAGTGCGACATGCCAGGGACACTGCTGTTCAAACCCTTGCACCCCCAAACCCAGCGGAAGTTCTCGTTCCCAAAAGGTCAGTGCTGGGGACAGAGACGATTGAGTTCAACACTACTCCCAACAGGAGGGGAAACTGAGGCTGAGGGAGACCACATGCTTGTACTTTGTTAGGATCAGGCTCACATGGAGGTGACTTGAACCTGTCACACAGTTAACACTGCAGGAGGTCTCGAGCGCTTTTCCAGCCCCACGTTCCAGGGCGTCACGATGCACAACACGGAGCTCCCGCACATGCATTCCCATCGTTCACTTGATGAGTGGCCATGTCGCACCTCCAGCATGCCATGCGCTGGGGACACAGTCAGACACCACCCCTGCTTCAGGACTGCAAGACCTGGACAAATAACCGGACATCGCATGGCACAGTCATATACTTGTATAAGTGACTTATACGTTAAAACATTCTAGAATGAGTGTGCCCATTACATGCTGAAGTGCTTTCTGGGAGGGGAGACAAGGCTCAGGGGCGGAAGGGGAAGTGCCCACACCACTGGCATGACCAGCAAGGGTCTCATATCAATTGCTATTTCTATCGTATGGCAGCAGCAAGAGCGAGACGGGCAACTACTGGATCAGCCCTCCCCAGCCCACTGAACAGATAAACAAACTGAGTTCTGGAGAGTTTGACTCTCCTGTCCACAGTGCCATAAAGAAATGGGTAAATCTTCAAATGCCTCAATGGTTCACAGAGCTTCCTCTCCAAAAAAGAAAAAAAAAAATCCAAATCATCCATAGGGGGCCTCTTCTTCACCATTCTTCCCATCTGGGATCCAGCCAGATGGCGTGACATGCAGAGCCTGGGCCATTCCGCAGCTCTGCCCACACCATGCCCTGCACTGGGATGCCAAGGACCATCACCCCTAAGGAACTGGCTCGTTTTCAGCACTCGGGTCCTGGTGTAGGCTTGTCCCCACCGCCAGGAGGCCCTTCTGGAGGGACCCTCCTGTGCCTCCCACATCACGGACACATGCACAGAGAGAAACATCACAGAACTGACTCATCCATTCAACAAGTATTTATTGAGCAACTTCCACATGCCAAGCACCTGTGGGCAGAGCAGTAAACAAAATGGAACTCCTGCTCCCCCTGAAGCTTACATTCTAGGGAGTGAAACAAACAATGAACAAGCAATATATGACACCAGCTCGGGGAGGACTCGGGGCTACGGAAACAAGCCAAATGGACAAGAGCTGCAGAGGGTGGCAGCTAGGGGCTCAGCGGCCAAGACCTCTCAGAGGAGAGCATGTTTAAGTAGAGATCTGAAGTGAGAGTAAGCCCTGCAAGCAACCGAGCAAAGAGCATCTGGGGAGGTACAACGGGTTCCTGTAGGTACCACCATTCTGTCTTCCACAGTGCTTTGCTGCCTACTGAACCGTAAGGCCCTCGTGGGTAAGGGCTGTATCGTAAGCACATCTGGGTCCCAGGTCCTGGCATGGAACATTAAGCAGTACACGTTCACAGAGTGAGAGTGAGGAGCGCACCTGGGCTGGTCTGGATCAGGCCATCTGGTCCCATCTTGCCTAAGCAGTAACATCTAGCCCTATTCACGCCTCTCTCCCTCAGGGCTAACACAGCCAAGCTGCCCACTGACTCCTGGGCCCCGGATTCTCTCTTCACCAGGACCACAGTGTCGGCAACTTGTCCAGTTCCACTACTGTTTGTGAGCCTTTTATCTCTTGCTTGGATGTGGGACCCTGTCTAGGAGCCTAAATGAGAGCTGGGAGCCACCTCCCCTGGCTTTCCACAGGTCTCCAAGACAAAAAGGTCCTGCCCTGAACCCCACTCCTGAGGCTGGGGGCCCAGCTCGGGGGAGGCAGCCCTCCCCAGCAGCCACTCCCTGTGCACCTGCATGTCTGCCTGGCTTCTCCACTTCCCTCCAGACTCTTTCCCACAGGGATATCTAGGGGCCCACTGCATCAGAGCTGTCCACGGCATGTTTCTGCATGGTCTGGCCTCGTCCCACCAGCACTGGGGTGTCCACCACAGCCAAGGGCAAGGCTAAGTCCCTAAGCTCTCCTGCTGCCTGCTACAGATCCCTGCAGCTAACTTCAGCTGGCCACCTGGGACCTCCACACCGCACCTGACTTTCCCCAGAGCTGGAATTAAGCTCAAGGACTGCAAACGCCATCCCTCCTGATGGCCTAGACCCTTGTCAACTCAACAAGCACTTTGGAGGGACCATCTGTGTTCCCGCCACATCTAAAAGGGGGTTGAGGATGAGGAACTCGTCCAAACCCCTGCTTTCCTCCACCACACCTGCCACCTGCCACCTGCCAAGCCTTGGAAGCATCACAGAGCTCCATGCCTGCTGCTGACGAAGATGATGATGGGGGTGGTGACTCCTGATGATGGTGGCAGAGAGAGAGGACGGGATGGTAAACAAATGGACCCTTACAGCCCGCTCATGCTGGACAACACTGAGAGAGCGATCAGGCGGGCGCCACGGGTCTCCCTTCAGAGACCAGCCGACACGGGGGCTGCTCAGGGTTGCACAGCCACGTGGCAGGGTGCAGGGAGAACTCAGACCTACCAGCCTCCCAAGTGCCAACTGTGACGCTGCTTCCCACTCGCACCCCATCCCTGCTCCCCAAGAGGAACTGCAAAACAAATGCAACTTTCGGCAGGGAAAGAGAGGTAGGTGGTCCCCAAGGCCCCAGAACTCAAGCTGGAGGAGTCAGACACAGGAATACACATTTACAATCTGAGGAGGCTGTGGACAGCAGCTGGAAGAGTGTGGGCAGAGCGGGGTGGCTTGCGGAGCTCAGATGCGCGGTTTGCACGGAAGGCGCTCATGCCTGGCCCGCCAAGCTGGCCTGGGGCCTGTCCACCCGCCCCCCACCCCCGTGTGTGCCTCACCTCCTTCCACTTGAGCTGGCGGATGCTGATCTTGAGGGCGTCCAGGGACGTCTTGGCTTTGGAGCTGTCCACGGTGACCGGCCGCTGAGAGCCGTCCCCGTGAGAGCTCCGCTTGCCGCTGCGGCCCTTGCTCCTGGGCTTCCCGGGCGGGCAGACGTCCCGCGCCGGCGGCTCCTCCGGCTCCTCGGGCTTGTGCGGGGCTCTGGCGAGCGGAGGCCGTGGCGAGACGCCGGCGTCCCCCTCCTCCGCCGCCGCGCGGGGCTGCTCCGGGCCCGGCACCTTGGGCTGCTCCTCGGCCGCCTTGTGCTCCGGCTCTCCAGCCGCACCCGCGTCCACGACGACCGGCTCGGCCGCCGCCGCCTCCCTCCGGAGCGCCAGCTCCCTGTCGCCGCTGCCCCGTCTCATGGCGCTCAGGGCCGGTGCCAGGGCCAGTGCCAGCGCCGCCGCCGCCGCCGCTCCACCGCTCCGGCCCGAGAACACACTGCCACTGCCGCCTCAGCTGCCTCAGCCGCCTCGGCCGCCACACGCTCTCTGCCCCAGCCCGTTGCCATGATCGCTCAGGCTCCGGTTGACAAGGGCAGGCTCCGCCTCAGGATGGGGCCCGGGAAGGGACAATCGCCGGCCTCATAGGCGAGCGTGCACACGTGATCGGGGCTGTCACAGAGGCGCTGGCGGCCATCTTGGAAGAGGGCGGAACGGTTTCGGGATGCACCCGGGAGACGCTGCGGGGCTGCCAAGGCTCGGCCCAGGGGGAGGAGATGTCTACTTCAAACCAAAGGCCCGGTTCCCCCACTCCTTTGCGCACTCACTGGATTAGCTCCTGCCTGAAAGGGGGGCACGTTTAGTTTTCTAGGAAGTGAGGTTGGGAAAGCATGAGAGCACCCACGGGCAGACATCCGTGACCACGAGGGCCTGCAGGTCATCTCTGACTTATGCCACGCTCCACGCTATTGGGAAGCAGAATGCAGATTCCAAGGCGGCTGGCCCCTCTTCCTCCCTCACGTCTTCTGGTCTTTTGAATGTCTGCATCATCTTGAAATGCACAGGTCTTAAGTCAGGTGGCCCAAGCCCCAGTATGGCAGCGGACAGAGCCCTCCTCTCTGCCCTTGGAGCCCACCACAGCTTCCCTTCTGAGCTCTTGAGGCATGGGCCACCTGCACTCGAGCACCCTGGGGCCCTGACCCAGAAGGTGAGCTCCAGACCCCACCCGCAGACACACTGATGCAAAACGTGTGTGGGGAGAACGTCGCAGCCTGGATGGTGCGGCTGCTCCTGGCAGATGCCAAGGCAGTGCCCAGCAGTCCAGTCCAGAACTGCTCAGCCAGTCTCACACCAGACCTACAGAGCTGTCCTTGGTACCGACAGCCAAGCCTCGGGCCTTCTAGGTGCTATGCCGAAATGTCTGTCACATCTTTTCTTGCTTATCCATCCTTACCATCAGTGCCCTCCCCCCCGTTTGGGCATCTGCCTTTAACCTGAGTCTGCATAGCAGTGTCCTCCAGGCTCCTGCACCTTCACCCAGTCTCCTTCCATCAACAGATCAAGCTCAAATGTGCCGCTTGTCCTAACAGACCCTTCCAGATGACCGTGGGGGCAGTAACCACCTCTCCCTGCCTCCCTCTTAGCCTGTCAGAGCTAGGAAGACCACTAGAGACAGTCACTTCTCTCCGACATGGCTTCTGCCTCAGGGCCCTCGCCCAGCTCCTGTCCTCGGCCAAGAGCACTGTCCCTCCAAATCCAGGTGCCTGGTGCACCTGCAGAGATGCCTCCATGCTCTCCTTCCAAATCAGAGCTCTGCAGGTGCAATAGTGAGACGAGAGAAGTGCCCAGGGAGCCAGACATTGAAAAATTAGTTAGGAGTGAAGAGAACAAATCATTGCCATGAAATAGAAAGCCGGGCTCCACACAGACAGAACGTTAGAGCACAGTGCAGCAGATGAAGAGCAAGATGCGGTCGGAGCAGAGGCCGTGAGCAGATCACTGGCTGAAGCCCACAAGCCTCCCCCACCTGAGAGGGACACCTTGGCCGACAGTTTCACTGACCCTGGGGTCAGGGCAGTCCTCCTTGGAAAAGGGAAACGGCCGCAAAGGTGCTGTGCAAGTGGATCTAAGAGTCTGACTAAGGTCGGTGTTGGGTGTGGTGAGTAAGACGCCACCTGGTGGGAGTGCCTGGATTCAACACCCAGAGGATGTGCTCCCTAGGAGGCAACAGGTGGAGGTTCATGGCCTTGGGTCCCTGTTGCCCACAAGGGAAATGGTGACGTGACTTCCTGGCTCCTGGTGGCAGACTGACTCCATCTGGGCTGTTGCAGGTCCTTGGGGAGTGAACCAATGGATAGGAGGTTGGTCTCTCCCCTGTCTCCACCAGGGCCTGGTTCAGTGCCCAGCAGATAACAGGCCCTCAAAAACATAGTGCCCAGCGCAGTAGCCTAGTAGCTAAAGTCCTTGCCTTGCATACAAAGGGATCCCATATGGGCACTGGTTCTAATCCCAGCTGCTCTACTTCCCATCTGGCTCCCTGCCTGTGGCCTGGGAAAGCAGTCAAGGATGACCCAAAGCCTTAGGACCCTGGACCTGCATGCAAGACCTGGAAGAGGCTCTTGACTCCTGGCTCCTGGCTTTAGATCAGATCAGCTCTGGCTGTTGCGGCCACTTGGGGAGTGAACCAATGGATGGACAATCTTTTTCTCTGTATATTTGCCTTTCCAATAAAAATTAAATCTTTCTAAAAATTTTTTAAACTGTCTCATGAGTGAATGAATGAGTGACTAAATCACCCTTAAACCATCCTGATAGAAGAAAGACAGTCCTTAAACAGATGCTGACTCATGCCGGCCAGGATGGCTTTAACTGCTTGGAGAGATGTTGATCATGTCACTTCAGTAAAACCTTGCCAGCCCTGTGATGACCATGCTCCACACACACACGCACACACACACACACACACAGCCTGGAGGATACAGACACACGAGAGCGGCTGTGATGGGGACACACGCTCTCACGGGAAATTGTCCTCCCTGTTTTGGCCAACTGTAACCACCCAGAGGCTGCTCAGCAGGTCTCTGAATCCTGAAGTCAGTTCCACTGCTGGAACCAAAGGCTAGAGCCTCCTGGAGCGGCGGATTGGGGGAGATGAGCCTCATCCACACCCCGCATCGTCAGGTCATCGTCAGGTCATCGTCGCGTCATCCTCACGCCCCACCAAGCAAGTTCCTACGCAGGGAAGTCAAACGCAAAAACAAGGCAAACTCAGGTTACACCAGCAGCCAGCTCCCCACACCTGCACCCCACCCACACGAAGCCTTTGCCCACGAAACTCCTCATCTTTAAACATGAGGGAGGGCGCACACGGGCTCCCATCTGGATGAGGAATCGTAGGCAGAGGAAAAACACACAAACACACGAACATTAACGAATAGATTGTTATTTTGAGTGATAATACTAAGGATGACTTATTCTGTATTCACTAAATTCTCTACAATGTTCACGCACTGCGTCAGTAACCGGAAATTCAACGTAATCTGCAAATTAAAAAAAAAAAAACAAAAAACCTTAACCTCCGTTGTTGCTTATGGGATTCATAGCAAGTCTTGCTGGGTGCAATCTGAACTGCTGCCGAGTCGACACTGTTGGTATCAGGAACCACCACCGGGTGGCGCCGAACGTCCAGTTTTTGAAGAGTAGAAGAAGCTTATAAACTCCCAAGAGCCACCTAATGACCCTCCACAGTTCCCACCTGGTCTGCCTGCCAACACCCTTTGGCAAGGTGGGGCTCAGACCACCGTGGCTCCCCCACGCCTGGTGCAGCCCCTCCCCCACCCCCCCGGAGCCCTGCCCTTTAGGTCCAGATACAAAACCTTGCCTTCTGAGGGTGTCCTGGAAAGGCCCCTAGGGCCTTGAAAAGAGGAGCAATCAATCCCAGCAATCAATCCTGCCCTTGTAAAGGACAGGAACAGCCCTGGTTCACCCAGCACCCCAGGGAAGTTGGAGGGAGGGTGGATCCAGAGTTAGCATCCAGCAGCATGAAGGCTGTCCCATGCATGCCCCCTGCAACTGGCCACCTAGTCCCACCTCCACCTCCTTCCAAGCGATGACCTAGAGCGGGCACACCTGGCCGTTCAGGGCTCAGTCCTCACCTGCAGGAAGGCCCCACCTCCACCTCCTTCCAAGTGATGACCTAGAGCGGGCACACCTGGCCCTTCAGGGCTCAGTCCTCACCTGCAGAAAGGCACAGCGGAAGGAGCCACCTGCAGGAAGTGCTGTGGCTGTGGGGATGCACGTGGGAGCGCGCTTAACACAGGAACACCTGCCCATCCCCAGCCCTCACTGCTGGGGAGACGCGACTGGCTTAGGGTGGGGGGAGCTGGGGACTGAGACCAGAACACCCACCCCCAACTCATCAGGTGGCTGGTTCTGTGTCTGCTCTGTCAAGGGGTGTCAAAGAGCAAGGGAGCAAAACTGAATGGAGTTTAGAATTTTTATTGCAGGGGGTAACACAGATCTGAAAGGCCCAGATGGGAATGCAAGCTATCCTCACAAACCCCTACACTCCTTGCATGTGCACCCACCAAAAGCAGGGAGCCCCCGCCCCCAACTCCTCCCTACCCAGGTTAACTGTCTGAAATCAACTAAGTCCTCAGTCACCTGAGCTGTTAGAGCCTGAGCCATCACCACCTGCTAACGTGTACAGGTGGAGGATTGGAGAAAGTCTGGGAGCCCGGCAGTGACTGCGGATCCACAGGACTGGAAGTCCACAGAGGGGCGTTTGCAAAGGCAAGGTGAGCCGTCAGGCTAAGCTGACACTAGGAAAGCCCTTCTAGGGGTCCTCTGAGGATTTGAACCCTTGACTGACCGGACAGAAAGCAGCACCAAGAAATAAACTTCCTAAAGCTCCCAAGAACCAGGCACAGGGGACCTGGCTGAGGGCAGTGGAGAGGCCAGTGAAAGTGAGCAGGGACCCAGCTCTTGGAGCTGGGAGGCGTGGAGCTCGAACTCCAACCTGGGGTACAGTCAGACCCTTAGTTCACCCTAGGCAGGACCAGGCAACCAGAGGCAGTGAGGCAGGGCCATGGGAGCCAGAGAGGGGAAACTGGCAGTAAGGGGTCTCTCTGAGCTCAGCTCCCTCCTCCCCCTCACTGTCCCCAGAAACCCTGTCCCCTGCCTGCTTGCACACAGCCAGGAACGATATTTGGGCACAGGCAGGGATCTGAGGGGCCACACAGCCCTGGCATCCCCTCCAAAACCTTGAGCCTATGTGCAGGGGTCTCTGGAGGGCCTGGGACCCTGGTGCCCTCTGATCAGCACTCTGAGACAAGGTGGGAGAGACCCCAACACCCATAGCCTCCCCCCACCTTCTAGCCCCCTTCCTGCCAGACTTCCCCCTCGAGAGGATCCTGAAGCTGCCATCCTCCCAGGTTGGCACTCCCTCGTCTCAGGTGTGAATGCTGCTGGGAGACCTCCAG